TATCATGTAAAGATTTATCAATTGGTAATCGTTGTTTTCGTTTATCAAATCATAAATCAACATGGTATGAAGCAAATGAATATTGTCAAGATGAAAATTCATCAGATGATCAACAAGAATATACAATGAAATTAGCATCAAATCTTAATCGTACAGATATTGAATTACTTCGACAAAGTCTTTTACATGAAGATGATGGTGAACAATTAGATTATTATTATTGGATTGGTTCAACAAGTCAATTTGATACACGAAAATTACATAAACATAATAATCGAAATAAACGACATGTACCAACAACAATATTTCGTTGGTATGATAATGGTGAAACAGCACAATTAAGTTTTCCAGATATATGGTGTTCACAAAGAGAACAAATGAATATAGCAACAATTAATAATAATGAATTATGTGTTAGTCTTACTTCATGTGGTTTATACGCTGATGATTGTCAACGAAATTATAGATTTTTATGTGAAGCTGTTTAAAAGAGTTTTTCTTTTTCTTTACCTTTTTTTTTTTTATTACGAAATAAAATCCTTTTCTTTGTAGTGAAAAAGTAATTTGATAGGTTATAACAACTGTTACTAGTTGAGAAAAACAATATGAGATTGATAACAATAAAAATTAATTGGAAACAATATTCCCCTTATATATTAATTAATGCTATTTCTATTTTTCATACAACAATATATTTTTTGTATCTATGATTTTATTTTATCTAAGAAGAGAAATAAATAATAAAATTTTATTTATAGAAGTTATTTATAGGAAATACAGAAATTTTCAACAAAAACCTCTAAATAGCAATCAAAGCTTTACTTGAATAAACAATAACAAATGATATATTCGAAGTTTCCTTTTTTTATATTTCATAAGTTTTTAGGATTTCTGTATTTTATTTATTTATTGAAATATTTTTAGAAAAATGTTGAAATCTAAACCCAGTATGAATAACAATTCACTTTCATTATAGGATTCTGAGAATGCTTTTAGCAATTCCTTTTGAACGCATCTGAAAGAAATCCTTCGCGATAAAAGATATTCTCATTCTCATAGAATACGATTAATGTGAAACAAATCACGAAAAAAAAAACAAGTTTTTACCCAATAAAAACAGATTTAGATAGGTATAAATTCTTCTCTATTACTTAGAAAAATGCGTTCTTGATACAATGCATTCTTGTATATCGAGAAGCTGATTTAGAAGCAAATTTTACTTTAAAACTTAATCTTTTACTTATAAAAGTTTAACGTACATCTCGAATTATAGGAAGTGAAATGAATATTGCTTATGTGATTCATACGTCATTACTCAGGATGCGATGTAGCTAAAAAGTACACGGATGTAAGAAAGTTTTTCTGACAGATGGAATGATATACAAATTGTTAAAAGTGAGTGTTGATGTAAAATTATTTTATCTTCTATGATCTTTTTGTGTACTCAAAAAGTGAGTACACTCTAGAATCGGTCAGTGTGTCCGGCCGTTAACACGATAACTTTTGAAAGGAGAGTCCGATCGCGACGAAATTTTCTACACAGTTTAGTCTTAACAATATCTCGGTCGAGTTCGAAGATGAGAATGATTGGCTGAACCATTGCTGAGTTATTGCAAAAATAGTCATTTTTCCCTATGAGAAGATAGACCCTTCTCTACTTTCATAAAAAACTTTTCCTATCATAGTCATATAAAACTCCAACTATTATATACCATTCGATAGAGAATTTCACGAGCTACAAAATGGTATATAAAACATAAAGAAACAAGAAAGCTAACTCGCCTATTGCAAAGATAATTAATCGGAATTCGGTTCTGTTTTTGTCCACGCTCTATGTGACCCACAATTCGAGGTCTATCTTCCCATCACAGCGATGATAGTTCGAGGTTTTCTAGAATGGAGAACTTGAATCTATGTTCCATTCGCCTCGAAATCCCATTGGTTGAGCAGTGACCAATAGAAATCAAGTTATAGGAAAAACGAGTTTCTTAGGGTAAATCAAGGTGAAGAGTTCAAATCTGAGCTGTATTTGCCTCCAAATCGTATTGACTGAGCAATAGCCAATAGAAATTAAGTGTTTACAGGACGGGTTTGCCAGGACAATTTTGATGTCCACACATTCTAGGGTGACTCATCTGTCTCATTCACTTTTTCCTGTACCAATATTGACCTATTCCGAGGAGGGGGGCGTGTTTAAGTACCTTTACGTCTTTAAGTCCTATATTAGGGGGGTATCGTTATGTCCTCAAGTCCTGTATTATAGGGGTGCCTTTAGGTCCTCAAGTCCTATACTATAAGGGTACCCTTAGGTCCTCAAGTCCTATATTGTGAGGGTACCCTTAGGTCCTCAAGTCCTATATTAAGGAGGTATCGTTACGTTCTCCAGTCCTATATTATAAGGGTACCCTGAGGTCCTCAAGTCCTATATTATACGGGTACCCTTTGGTCCTCAAGTCCTATATTAGGGGTACCTTTAGGTCCTTAAGTCCTCTATTATATGGGTACCCTTATGTCCTCAAGTCCTATATTGTGAGGGTGCGCTTAGGTTCTCAAGTTCTATATTATGAGGACTCAATTATCTTCACTTTTTGTGTACTCAAAAAGTGAGCACACTCTAGAATCGGTCAGTGTGTCCGGCCGTTAACACGATAACTTTTGAAAGGAGAGTCCGATCGTGATGAAATTTTCTACACAGTTCAGTCTTAACAATGTCTCGGTCGAGTTCGAAGATGAGAAGAATTGGCTGAACCATTGCTGAGTTATTGCAAAAATAGTCATTTATCCCTATGAGAAGATAGACCCTTCTCTACTTTCATAAAAAACTTTTCCTATCATAGTCAAATAAAGCCCCAACTATTATATACCATTCGATAGAGAATTTCACGAGCTACAAAATGGTATATAAAACATAAAGAAACAAGAAAGCTAACTCGCCTATTGCAAAGATAATTAATCGGAATTCGGTTCTGTTTTTGTCCAGGCTCTATGTGATCCACAATTAGAGCTTTATCTTCCCATCACAGAGATGATAGTTCGAGGTTTTCTAGAATGAAGAACTCAAATCTATGTTCCATTCGCCTCGAAATCTCATTGGTTGAGCAGTGACCAATAGAAATCAAGTTATAGGAAAAATGAGTTTCTTAGGGTAAATCAAGGTGAAGAGTTCAAATCTGGGCTGTATTTGCCTCCAAATTGTATTGGCTGAGCAATAGCCAATAGAAATTAAGTGTTTACAGAAAGAGTTTGCCAGGACAATTTTGATGTCCACACATTCTAGGGTGACTCATCTGTCTCATTCACTTTT